TTTGCATACTATATGAACAGAATCTTAAGAAATGACCAGTTTTGTGTTTTTCTTTCCAGATGTACTTTTTACTTCCATGTTAGGTCTGATGCAATTGTATAAACTGGAAGTGCTTTTGAGAAGATGAAGATGACCACCAATATCATCTGCCATGGGAATCATCCTTTATTCTCATGAGAAACCTGAGATCTCCTCTTTGTATCTGATTTACAGCTTCCTGTTTATAATAGTAGGGCTACTCATCCAAAAATCATGAACAGTCTTTGACTCTTGAGTAACTGTACAAGACCCAGACTGTACCTTTCACACAGTATTTTGAAATCAAAGAGTCAACTCAGAATATAAATGGAGTTACATAGGATAATGATAGTAGGCACAATCAGGTGTAACCAATCAATAACACTAACCTTGAGAAAGACAGGATATACGCCAGGCAGATGCTCACTTGCAAAACAAGATTTCTGAAGTTCCTGAGGGATCCTGTTACATTCAAGTACATGTTACAAAGAACTGGATGGTCTTGAATAAACTGTTCTGTGTTTATTATATCAGCCAGGAGGGAAAGCTAAGGGATTTTCTCAAATACTATGAAGCTCTGGATAACAAGATTATTGAAGCAAAAGTCAAAATTATATAAAATCAAACCAGGGATAATGAACTGATGCTTGTCTCCAAACGCTTATAAGACAAAAATGCATCTCTCTAGAAAGATGAGTGATGTACGAAAAGCAGAAATTAAAAAAAAAACCCAAACACAAACAAACAAAACATAAACCAAACCAAACTAAACTCAAAAAACAAACAAACAAACAAAAAAAACCAGCCACCAAAATCTAAGATTAATAAATTGTCCATTTGGCATAGTCATTGGGATATCAGACTGTTCCTGAAGGTCCTTAAGATTACTGGTAACAGTTTGGGTCAAAGTTTGTAGTTACATATCCACACAGTGTACCAGAAGCCTATCTATAAATCATGATGTTTCTCCTCCTTTCAAATTGAGAATTGGATTGAGCATGTGTTTGTGAGTACTCCATAATATGTACAATAATCTTGCACGTTTGTGTCGTGCACATAGTACAGGCAATATGTTCTATAAAACAGCCAGCATTAAAAGCAGATTGCTCTGTTTCACTAACTTCTTTAGCATCACTTCTGTTTTGATTTAATCAGCTTTTAATTTTGCTGTATTAAGCAAGTGTAAAGAACTGTGAGCTTTGTGACATTGTTTTTGCAAATCACCCTACAGTACCTCTGCTCTAAAAATGTACAACACAATGCTATATAATACTACGTGCAATTTCTTTTTCCGACTTTATTGAAGTAATTAAAAGCTAGACTATACTGTGCTGCACTTAGAACTAATAATATCATTAGCCCTTTTTGCAACCAAGAACTTTTAGAAAAGTTACTCATAAGGAAAACATAATTAACAGTAATTGAGAAAAAGTTAAAATTTGATATCCTTAATCATGAGCATTTTTATGACAGACTAATGTACCATAATTAAAATGGCATGCTGACCTTTCAACTGCTTTAACAAAAGACAAAGCTGCTTCACTGGTTTTAATACTACTTTTTCCCACATTATAATGAGAGGGAAAAAAAAAAAAAAAAAGAGAGAAAAAAGCTGGGATTTTTTTAATCTATTATTGCTTAGTACTGTTTTTGCACGTACCAGAGTCAATCCAAGTAATTCTACTGACTATTTGAATTGAATTCTGATTTACAATTTTTTCACAGGAGAGAAAGAAAGGCTGTCATTCCTTGTTGTGGATATGCACAGTATAACATAATACTATTTAGAAACCATATGAAAACAAGAACAAAGAGAAGGAAACCCAGTCAACAGAAAAGATAAATAAATTAGTTTTATTACACTACAACAATAGTTATGGCCTAATACTTCACTGACTTCTAAGATGCGTCCATCAGGTATGGTTACCAAGCCGAGGATCCTGACTGCAATAAATTAGCAACGTTTGCCAATCACAAGGCAGTTGGCAGTCAGCTCCTTGCAAACACAAGTGGCACAATTAGCCCATGTTGATTTCTAAACACCTGCTCATTTATTACTGGACTCTGATGAACATTTATTCTGAGTCTCTTAAGGTTTGAGCTTTGTATAAAATGATTTTCTGCTCAACCTCCAACAAAATATTTGCATTTCACAAATATTGGGCACCACCTCTTCACAATCATCCATTACAAATACAATGTGCAATGAAGGGACAATTTTGCATTGAGGAGAAAAAAAGAAACCACAGTCAAGAATAGTCAGGTGTTGGTTTTTCTAATACGCAGAATCCTTTACTGAAGTATTTCCAATTTAATTTTTCTGTCTCCCTATAAAGCAAGATTTGGAAGACTACACAGGGTAACTGGACATATTTGTCCATTTCACTTGTTTCAATCCAAAATAGTTTCCTCTGTCTTTGATGTAGCAAATCAAGGAAAATGTGTTTCATGATAAAACCGTTGAAATCTCGGTTGGATGAGGCTTTGAGCAACTATTCAACTGCACAGTGCCAGTGGGGTGGAAACAATATGATCTCTTTACCCTAATCATTCTATAATTCTATGAATATGTGTTTTGCATTAGCTGACTTTATTTAGCCTCTTAGTAGAACTTCAGACGTGTGTAATATTTATGTTTCTTTCGTGAACATAGGTTTTTTTTTTCCTTCATTTGAACCAGGATATTGTTTTCATCTCTCAACAATTCAGTAGTACGAATTGTCTGAAAATAGGCTTCTACTATTTCTCATGGAGAAAAAAACCTCTAGTGTTAAGCCTATGGTAGTAAATTAAATGACATCCAAGAACAATTCCAAGTGCTGAAATGCAATTTTCTTTGCCAATGTTTGAGCAGTCCCTGGTATACTTTAGAGCAGTCACCTGGTATACGTGTGATAATTAGAACACTACAAAATAATTTATGAGCATGATTTGGAATTAAGTGTTCCAACAACTGTTCCTACCAGGTACGTGGTGTTCATCCACCTCAGTTTTGAGGCCAAGGGGGACATATCAGTCTTTCCATGAGACTGGCCTTTTTGATGAGAACACCCTAACTTACTACAAGCATTAGTTTGCATTATGTCTGATTTTTATTCAGTCAGATGCTGTTAAGAAAATTGATTCTGTACACCTATGTCCTTTACAAGATTTTACATGATAGGAAGGTCATGTTTATAATCAAGTAAGTTTAGTTCTCTCTTATCTTAACAAGCCATGGCTGACTAGATAAATAATTCTTTTTGCAAGGTAGGAAACTTCTATTTTTTTAATCTATTGCAATCAAAATTATATCATCTCACCTCCTTTTATTTGTTTCCCTATGTAAAACTTCACTTATTTCCCTTCCTTCCGTGTGGAAGGAAAATTTTCTTTCTTCCATTCAAAGTTCTCTGAAAAAGCTTTCTTGAGCTTTGTAAGTGAACACAACCAGCAAAACCAATGTCATTGTTCTTATCATCTCATTGATGAACACTTCTCCTTCAGCTGTATTTTGTGCATATGTGATTTCACAGTGTGTTGGAGTAAACTGGCATTTGTTGGTCCTTAAGGTATATCAGATAGTTTAGAAACTAGTTATAAGTAAGTTGTGCTTTGGGAAAGACACCACACTGGGAGAAGTGACTTAAACTTTTATTACAATTCTATCACTAATTGTATATTATGGTTGCATCAGTAATTACAATTCTATCAGTAAAATTTTATTTTTTTTTTTACTATTATATCAGTTCCTTTTTCCCCTTTCTTATCAAGATAGTATGTTCAAGCACAGTTTGTGGACCTCTTTTCTTCATGTTGAAGTCTTTACTGCCTTCATGAGCTTTTTAAGAACATTCCTACCAGGTGTTTTTTAATGTCCAATTAAGTTTCTAGCGGCTGTAAGAGGTATTTGAGCAGACTTGTAACAAGAAAAGATTCCATCCATTTTAGGATATAAAGATTTTTCAGTTTTTTCAACTTATTTTTTCTGAAAAGGAGATCATAGGCATTGATACAATGGATTGAGACTGCCCAAATAACCTTTGAATATTTAGATGGAGTTACTGCTCATGATCAACATGTAACATCATCCCACAGAAACTACAGATTTCTTTGTACCTTCCCTCTGTTTTCTCCTCAGAAAGATGGCCTGATATCTCAAGGCAGAGTTTCAAGAGGTAAAGTCTTAATGTAGTGTATACATCCAGTTCACAATAAGGAACAGTTTTAGCTGGCTTTCTAGCATTAATATTATTTTACCAGTATCCTATATATGTTGGCTGAAATCAATTTTTACTGATTTCTGCATAAAGAAAGTATCATACAGGGGAAAAATGAATGCCACTGTATCTGCAAGCAAAATTTAATATTGCACCAAATTACTTAAGGAATATTTCTTACAGTAGGTGAAGAGGAAATTTCACATAAAAATAAAACATCTAGACTGTATCTTTTTTATTGTCTAGTTTTATTTGGTTCATGTTGTGTCAGAAAAATCCAATTAAGAAAGAAGACAGAGAGGGAAGGAAAGAATACTTGGTCTTGGTGATAATTGTTTTATTACACAGTTAAGATTTAATAGCAGGCTATGGAAGAAATAAAATTTTCACCAGGTTAGAATGTGAGGGTAGAATACTCTTGTGTCTTTTGCTAATTTGTGTGACTGTATGATAAATAAATATTGCAGAAAGGTAACAACTTGGTTTTGTCAACAGACTCCAAAACCCCTAGTCCAAGATAAAAACTCAAAAATTATTCACCTTATTCCAAAGACAAAAATAAATAAAAGAAATTACAGGGGAGATTCAGGAAAACATATAAAAGCCTGAAATATCCCTTCAAAGAGTTTTAGCGACAGAATTTTTGGGGTCAGTTATTACTTTTCTTCTTCATTTACAGGATATAGAGCTTTATCTATAGATTATGTTTCCATAGCTTTGCATTACACATGTGAAGTATAAATATTTACCTTTCTCGGTTCCTTTCTCTTCCTTTTTCTTTCTTTGTTTTACTCCTCTGAAATCTGTTTCAAAAAGACAAAATTATTGCTTTAATTAAAAAAAGCAAGAAGCATTATGTGTCATGTAGCTCCTGCATATCAAATCAGAATTTATTTAGCTCTTTACCCAATAGCAGCCAGATGCTAGAGCCAACCTCCAGGATAAAAGACACCATAAAGACAACTTATCATGCTTTAAAATCTCTAAGGATAATTTTCCTTATTTTTAATAAAACGCACGACCCAAAGTATTTTCTACTTATTACATGAGAGAGAAATATTTTGAATCATAGTAGCTTTCAATTCCACAGAACGAAAGCCACAGTTAAAGTTTTGGAAATAGCAACCTTTCAAGGAGCAGGCTGATAAAAGCAAATATCTGTTAGGATTTAAAATTTCAACAATATCAGTGATTAATTGGGAGAAGGAGAGAAAGGATTATTCCAAGGAATGATGGTTACCGTACTGTCTGGGAGTCCCAGCTCTAATAAATAAGTCAGCATTTCAGAGCAGGTATGACTAAGTTAAGAAAAGAAAGTGACGGCCGTTTTCCCAAACACATTGCAATTCTCTGTGTTGTGAACTTCCTCAGGTGGCAGGAGACTTTGGTTTACAGCCCAAGAGAGAAAGAAGACATCTGAAGTCAGGGTACCAGCAGACCTTTGAATTTAGCAAAAGCCATACGGTTATTTTGTCCCTTGAGGAAATCTATTCCCTTTGTTAGAAAATGCCTGAGTGGTTTAAGGGAACATAATTCAATTAAACAATCAAACATCATGAAAAAAAAAATCCAAAACTATTCATTCACAGAAGCCTATATCTTATACAGACAATTCACATATAGATTTTATTTATATTTGTGGTTATATTTTACATTTATATAATACTAATGAAAGTAGGTAATACTAATGAAACGTAAAAAAAAAAAAAAAAGTCCCAGAATGAGAAAACAAGCAAAGAGCAGAAGAAAACAAAGGATAAAAATAAACAGTTCTGAGCAAAAGAGATTGTTTGGAATAGAGAACATAGCTCTTTGGAGCATATTCAGTGCTGGCTTCAATCTCATGTAAAACATTTAGCTTCTCAGAGTTTTATACAGCCCTACATAGAAACATACTAAAAAAAGCCATATTTCTCTTGACAACAAAGTGCTTTAATAAGGCAAGTCAGAGTCCCTCAAAGTTAAGAAACTAATGTCTATAGAAAACTTACAGCTTGACTGAGAATGCACAGAAAGAAAAAGTACCCATATATGCTTTCACAAAGAAAAACTTTTTAATTAAGGGAAAGGGAATTAGTCTGCAAGGTGTTCTCCAGTATCAGACAAAATTAATTGAATAATTATTATATGATATATAAATTTGTAATTGCTACTAGAAAGAGAAAGATGGGCTAATCTACAGACACTAAACACTTATCTACATGAACATGCAGAAAGGACCAGATCACTGAGCCAGTGTTTGTTGGATTGCTAAAAATGAATGTTTTTTTTAAATGCCATATGCAGAACAAACATGTAATTATCCAAAGCATGAATACTTACAACATTATTTCTTTTTCTGACTAATTTTAGTTTTTAATGTTTCTGTAATATTTTGCCAAACTCAGCAGCCTTCTATTTCAGATGCACTTTTAACTTACATTGCAAAGGGTTTAATAAACACAGAAGATGCCAGATGAACACATGAATTTTTCTCAAATCCTCAAGTGCTCACACTGTTTTAATTCAAAAGTGATGACTGTCATGTCTTGGCATCTTCTGTTCTCTGGGCTAGTTATTTTTTGTGAAGGCATGGTAAGCTAGGGAAGCAGTGCTGGTAACTGAAATTGGTTGCAAGAGCATCTAAAAGAGGACAAACTCATCAGCACAGTCTGACCTTACCACATTGAATTGATGGCAATGGGCTGCAGATGAGGCCAAGAGAATGAAATTATGATAATTGTTCATATCAAATCTAGTCCAGGAAGCAGAGCAGCCAGATTTTCCCCTTTCCTAAGCCTAACACCGAAAATTTTGACTTCTGATAGGGAGTAGGCTCTGCCTATTCTCTGACAGCTGTTAGCATTTTCTTCAGTAAATCTCACAGTGAGAGGCTGGACAAGGTTGTAAATATTTTGCTACTCCTTTCAGGCAGAAAATAGCCACCTAATTTTCTTCACCAACAGCTTTACCTGCATAAATAAAAACTGTTTGTACACTATCTGCTGTAAATAAAAGCTTTTTTGTATCTTTTGATCAGGAATACATCAAAATACTCTGTTTCTGCACCTAGGAGCTCTGCACATACTTGCCTAGTCTGTGGCAGTTACAGTCAAAAAGCAATGTTCTGGATAGATTCCTGTATCATGGTGCTGAGTGTGCTGAGCGTATAAGAAGTAGTCACAGAAAAATAGACAGGCAGTTATCTAGACAGTGAAAAAGAGGGAGCCAGACTATTTACATAAAGTGAGCAGTGCTGCCAGAACCACAACAGAACTCCAGCAACAATGAACTTAAGTGACTGAATGAAGGCTTACATAAAAAGGTATTGCTACATCAAGATCATACAAACCCACAAACCATTTTCATGCAAAACATTTTCTTCTGTAGTAACAAAGCTGAAAGTCCAATTCCAATTGAAGTGAGAAAATAGAATGCAAAATTTTCACCTGAAGAAGTATGAATTTTTTCCCAAGTATCAGTTCTCTGTGAAAGAAGACAAAACCAAGAAAAGCTAAACAAGAAAAGACTAAAAGCATGAAATGGTTAACCAACAGGTTTCTTGACACTATTTCAAATTTTTCACATCTTTGCTAGTATGCAATAAAAAAAGAAATCTTAAACTGTCAAAAAAAAGACACATAAGAAAAATCAGCACAAAAAATGAAGTGTTCTTTATTGCTCTGTGAAAGCACTTTCCTGCTCCATTCTATAATAATTAAACACATCACAGAGACTATAAGGTTTTAAAAACTTCTTTACAATACATTGCACCAATAATAAACACAAAACCAATTTGTTGGGTTAAAAGCTGTTTCAAACTCCCAAGGTTGACCAAAAAATTAAAAAAACAGTGTCATCATTTCATCCTTTGGATGTCTTCTCACATTTCTTTGGATGAAACTATAATTATTTACATGTATTCATCTTTTGTTAATTTCTCTTTTTGTTTGTTCGTTTGTTTGTTTAGTGGGATTTTTTAGGTTTTTTTTGCCAAATTAAATGCATATGAAAATTAAGAAACACTTTTAGAAGCATTATTTTCTATTTGTACTGATATCCAAATTAGAATTCAAATACCATGCAGCTTTTAGGCCATATAAGTAGAGAAAAATGTTGATAGATCCAATGAACACCTGTCCAAAAAAGAAAAACTTTTGTCATGTATGTGATTTACCTAACAGGACTGACTGTCAAACTGCATTTCCAAGATGAGCTGTCCTTAGGCAAGCCAAGAACAAAAAATCAGTCTGTCCTTTCTGACAGCACTTTCACGTTAGCTACAATTCAGAGCAGTACAACAACACACAAGGAAAAAACATTTAAACAGCTATAAAGAACTTAATAAAAACCTCAAGTTTAATTTCAGGCGAAAACTCACAGTGGCTAATACATTACCAGCACATTAGCTTGGTTTCAGATTCTTTCCAGATGACAGCCACACTGGATGCCTCTCTCCTGCCAGTATTTTCTGTAAAGGAACACATAAATGATCATCCTTTTCCAAAAGAAAACTACAGCTAAAGAATCATGTACAGATTGTACCAATGAAGTGAGAGGCTTCCCCAGTGGGAGCTTCAAAACAGGAGCTATGGACAGTGTTTGAGTAGAACTACAAAAAACTGGGTCATGCACTACAGTGAGAGGCCAGTCCAATACCTTACACAGTAGGAGACAGGAACGGATGGTGTGATTAAAAGCAATTGAGATAAACGAGGCAACATCTGTTTCTGCAGGCAGTGTTTGAGCATGCAGACACCCAAACTGCACCTGCAGCTCTGGGCTACTTTGTCCCACACAAATCTAGAGATTCACATTGTGGTGCCTACATAAAGTCTCTCTAAAAGTGTAACCCATAAACAAGCGCTCTAAATCTTTGTAATAGAAGAATACTTTCTTTTAAAAAGTTCAATGTCCTAACTACCCCCAAAAATATTTGAAATGCTATGTATAAACCCACTGTATATAAACGTACATAAGCATACATCTATTCCACACACGTCTCTTTTTTTTCTTTCAAGCCTTAAAATTTGCTTTGAGTTAAACTATCTAGTTTATTCTCTTTCTCCAGTCTTTCTGACAGTCTTTATAAGATAAAAAGTAATGAAAAAATGTCTGCAGAGCTGCTATCTGTTAATCAATCACCTCAACCTTAGTTTAAGAAACAGTTTTGAACTCATTTCTTTGTCAAGTTTCCAGCTGAGGTTCTAATTTTTACTAAAGTTTTGGGCTTCCTCAGTTAAAACTGAATTATGTGCCACATCCAGAGGAGGGAATGTCAGGGTGTGCTGTACTGAAAAGGTCACTGGAGAACAACTACATCACACAAGGACTCAAGAATAGCATGTCATGAATTTGTCAGTCCAGCACCAAAATCATTCAACAGCTAACTGGATGTGAACCCAGAGAAAATATTACTCAGAACCTGGGGATCAAGCAAAGACTAGTACATATATTCCTTCCTTCCTACCTCTGTTCCCAACATGTGCATACATGGAAGCAAGGAGCTTGCCCAGTCTAGGACGTATTTAGAGGTAGATACTAATTTCTGATGTGCAAGATCCTCTTCCTCTCTCAGCTGCTAGCAGAAGACTAGAGGAAGGTCTTAGAGAAGCAGGAAAAGGATGTTGGAGATATACTAAGACTTCATGCCTTTCCTCCTATGGTGGCAACATGATACCTAACAGCCAGCTATGACAACTTGAGGGAAGCCTGTAATCACAAGATATTGCAGTCTAGCAGGAATATTTACAAGTAGCCCTCAGATTTCTTAAACTAACAAACTTCAACCATATTAAAATGTGCCAACTGTCTTTCTTGCTTTCACACACAAGAAAAGAAGAAAAAGGAACTCTGACTACAACAAATTTCAGAATTACTGCAAGCTACCATAAGAAGCTCTGCAAATATGTGGAAAATGCCACCCAAACACCAACTTTTTCCCTGTGTTGTTTGCCCAGCCGTGCAAGTCATTTCTTTCAACTTTGAGTGTCATGACATGACACACAGCAAAACAAAGCTTAGAGAGCAGAAGAGATGGTTAGATAAAGAGCATGAAGTGTGGAAGAAAAATGTGTATTTAGGGACACAAAGGGCAATAGGTCTTCAGGAGAAACAGAGAAAAAGAAGAAAAAAGCATAATTTCATTTTCTTTAGTAGTATGAAAGAACTTCGAAAAGCAAAATCAATTCTTAACACTAGCAAGAAGCTCTACTAAGTGTTATCTTTCTACCATATAATGGCATTATTTGAGACAGTTGTTATAGAGAATCACATTTCACTAGCATATGTAAAGACTGTGGAATACAGAACCATTAATGTCTAAAATACAATGCAGATACAATGCAGCGTATCTCTCAATTTCTCTGGTTAAGATGCATGAGAATTTTGCCAACAAAAGATTGTTCATTACTCAGTGCTGAGCTTTTCATTCAAGAGACACAAGACATGTCTCTTGAATAAATATAATAAATATAAAAAAGATATAAATATCTTTATATTTATAATATAAATAATATTATAAATATTTATAATAATTAAATTATTATAAATAATTTATTTTAATAAATTATTTATATAATAATTTTAATTTATGCATAAATGTAAGAATATTTATGTATATTCTAAATAACTCTTTATAATTATAAATAATTATATATTTATAATAATTTATTATAGATAAATTATTTATATATAAATAGTATATTTATTTATATAATTATGTATAATCATATAATAAATAAATATAAATAAAAATACTAAAAGAACTTTAGAATTCTAATAAAGTCCATCCTCAGTTCCACATTCATGAAAAATGTATGGTATATCATACTATGTCTTTGATCATACCAGTGCAATAATTTAAAAACTCACTAAATAAAAATCCCAGACCTCTTAAGAAAAAGCAATGATTAAGTCTTTGGTCATCCTGTGTAGAAACAAACACAGTGTTTGAGCCCTTTTTTCCGTAACTCTTGTCCCATTTATTTTCATTTAGGTTCAATACAGCTAACACAGAGAAGTACTAACCCAAACACTGGAAGAATCTCCAGCACTATGTTAAAGTATGAATCAACAAAAAAACTACAGCCAACTACTGCTAAGCAAACATTTTATTTGCCAAATAACACAGTTTGGTCATTCATAATATCAGCCTGTAAATAGTTTCCTCCAGAAAAGCTTGAGTTAAATTTGCCAAACTGGGATGGCAGGGTGATCTGTTCTCCTAAGTTCTTCTGACTCACCATTCAGCATATATAGATGAAATATACATTAAACTCCCATCTGCCTTGCCAGATTTAACACCCCAAGTCCTCTGGTAGTGCTGTAGGGAAGCCATAAATGTGGGTATATCCTTCCCTCTCCTAATGTTCCTGTGCTTAAAACTTGCCTTTAATCAGAGCAGGACTTGAAACTCTGGCAACCTCTAGACTAGAGACTTCCTGCTTTAACACTGTTTCAGCTCTCTGAAATGCTTAGAAGCATTTCCTGAATGGAGCAGGTTTTTGTTTACTGTGAATCTGGGAATCATAAAAACATCCGAAAGCAAAGAACTTCTCAAAGAGAATATTGGAAAAGAGGAAAGGGATAAGAAAATTCCTAGTCTGAGTGGCACTGCAGATCTTATCTACATCAATATGCCATGATGAGAGACTTTAAGGTAAGATAGTCTTATCCCATTAAATATCTTAAAAGTCAATACTGCTACTGCATACAGATATTCTGATTAATGCCAATCTGCAAGGAACTGCTAAGCAAAGTGACAGAGCCACTGAATTAATTGCAACTTTTAATGTATTTAATGTTATCAAAAGCAGAATAAGCACACAATCTGATTTCAAGAAGCTGAATTGGTTACAATGCAAAGCCTGTAACCTGTAAGCAACCAGAAGAAATTAAAAACAGCTCAAAAATATGAGCTTTAACAATACTGTTATACCTCAGAATATCTTGGAATGGTGAAGGGCATTGCATCCTGGGAATATATCAACAGAAATTATAACTTTTTTTCTGCTTCTTCAATAAATATTTCTTTGTTTAGAAATAAAAAATGGCTTCAAATACTAAACACGATAAAGTATGACATTAAAAAATGAAACTCACCTGCTTGTAGTAAGGTATAGGTATATTTTGAAAAGTAGAAAACCAATTCTCTTGTGATTAAAAAAAAAAAAAAAAAAAAAAAAAAAAAAACACAACATGAAAGAGCTTAGGAACAGAAAGTTTCTGCATTTGGCTAAAAATATCTTCAATAATTTTGCAGGACTCAAAAATTTAAGTTGTAATATTTTCTAATTAGGGCTGGAAGCCAGGAAAAATTGTGTTTAGGGTTTAAAAAATTCACAAAATACTCTGATGTGGCAGATCTACAAGACATGTAAATTGTTGTCCTCCTCTGAGATCTGCTCCTATAGCTTCTCACAGTGATTCCATCTATGGATATATTTTTAATTCTCATTACTATCTTTTTACATCTCATAAATGATAATAGATTAGTAAGTTCTTTTTTCCAAATGTGGAATTTGCCATATTTTTGTTCATTAACTTTCTCTAGTTCAATCATCTAGATGACTTATTACCTAAAATGTACTCTTTTCCTTCAAGATGTTTGTAAATTTATACCACTGCTTAGTTCTTTTTTTTAAATATACTGACTTCATAAAAACATATTGCTACTCTGTGATACCTAAATTTTATTAAAGTAGTAACTAAAACTGGTGATATTTCTTGAAGATTGGTACATTGACAAGGCAATATATTTCCTTGGAAGTATAAGGTTGTTAGCATTTGTTAGATGCTACACACACACACACACATGCCATATTTGAATACACTTATAACCGACAGTAATGTTTTATAAAAAATCACCTTGACTATGTTAGGTTTTGGGATGTTGTCATCTATGCAAATGTTGACTTTCTTAGAGAGTCTTCTTGGAACAGGTATTCCAGGGAAATAAATTGAATCACGGCAGGTAGTTTAAAAATTGCATTATCCCTGAGAGTTAGATAATAACTGATACTCAGAACCTTAGGTTTCTCCCTCCCTGTGTTTTTTAATAGAGTTTGACTGAACAAATCTTTGATATACAGCATCTGAAATAAAATGTCTTGGAGGAGTTAATTGAATTAATTTCCCATTATTCCAAGAGGGAAGATAACCCATATGGAATCTCTTCCTCGGACATCTGCCACAGCACTGCTCTTTCAGAGCTCTTCTCTGCAGCATCAACAGTACATAACATCCCCTGCAATTTCAACAGAATATGAAATTACAATAACCAGTCTGAGGACAGAAGAAGAACTAATTAGTCAAAGGAACTTTTTAATTGCAGTATAGTTCATATAGAAAGATTTCTTAGAAATTTCAGCCAAAATTTAAACATAGATTTTTTGCAATTCAATATATACTGATCTACTAAATTTTATAGTTTTTCAAATCAGGAACTTCTTAATGTTTGGACCATTTTAAGATCAGAGATTTTAAATAGTTAATTAATGATAGTATATTTAAAAAATCTTAGTACAGAAAATCTATTTTCAAAAATATTAGCTGTAGATACATAGCCTTGCTTCATTTTGTAAACTTCAGACAAGTAGAAAACTTGCAAACTCTTCAGTCATAATGTCATTTAGAAATTTTGCAAGCTAATTCCTCAGTCTCAAACTCTTTTTAAAAGTTGAATCAACAGCATGTATTTACCCAAGAAATACATGGTATAGTATTCTGCTGGGGTTTTATAACCAAGTGGATTATGTTTTCAGGTCGAGTAGACATAGGACAACAAATCTTCTTGCTTGGGGCATCTGTTATATGTACAAAGTAGATATAGGTTGATACGGGTTTGATTAATAGTTTCAATATATCTTGGATTCAAGATCAGTCCGTATATTTCAAGATGGTACAAAATTTTAGCGTGAATTGAATATGCTCTATCATATTTCAATTCAAGATTAAAGAGTGTGTGTTTACATGTTTATTCATTTTGTCTTTATGGAGAGCATGAATTATAAGGTTATTATTATATGGATGGAAGAATAAGGAATGCCATTTAATTTAAAGTTTATTTCAGGTGGAAGAAACTTAGCAGTAAAGCAATGAGATTTCATTTATCTAAGAAAGGTTGAAGAGGTTTATGTGTTTAAATAACACCCATCATCAACACTGTAAAACAAATCTTTGAAAAGTTTTAACCCTTGACAGACTTCTATTTTGTTCGGTAGTATTCATATATGCTATGAAGACATAGAAATAAGCTCACATGTTTACCAACCAGTGCAAATATATGATGTGTAGTTGTCTACTAGTATGAAGCATCATTCCCAGCAACTAGGATTGCAGTCTAGGGGTCATACTGTGTCTGATCCTATTCAATGTCTTCTTTAATGGATGGTGGGACAGCGTGGATCCTCAGCAAGTGTGCAGAAGGTGCAAAACTGAGAGAAATGACTGATAGACCACACAGTTGTCACAGCCAGAATGACCTTAAGAGGCTGGAGAAACAGGCTGACAGGAACTTCATGAAGTTCAACAAGTAGAAGTGAAAAGTCCTGCACAACCCCAGGCACCAGTTCATAATGGGGATCACCCATCTGGAAAGCAGCTCTGCAGAAAGTGACCTAAGGACAGAAAGTTGAACATGAGCCATCAATATGCTGGTTTTAATTAAAAGCTAAAAGTATATGTTTCCAGCAGGATAGAAGAGGTGATCTTTCCCCTTTTTTCAGTGCTGTTGTGGTCAAACTGTGTCCAGTTCTGGGCTTCTCAGCACAAGAGAGACATGGACATTCTGCACACAGCATAGTGAAGGCCACAAAGATGGTAAAGGAACCAGAGGAGTATTTATATGAGGAAAAGCTGAGAGGTCTGGAACTGTTCAGCCTGGAGAAGAGAATGCTCAGAGCATCTTATCTATGCACATAAATACCTGATGGAGACAGATACCAGGTTCTTTCCAGTGGTGCCCAGGAACAGGACCAAAGGCGATGGGCACAAACCAAAACACAAGAAATTCCATCTGAACACCAGAAAATACTTTTTCACTGTGAGGGTGATGGTACAAGTTGCCCAGGTAGATGATGGAGTCTCCCTTCTATAAGAGGGGAGCCATATGGATATGGCTCTGGGCCATATTCATTCAGAAGCCATATGGATATGGTTCTGGGCAGTCTGCTTTGGGTGACCCTGCTTGGGCAGCAAGGTTGGACCAGGTGACCTCCACAGGTCCCTGACAACTTCAGCTGTGCTATCATTCTGTGAATACATTATAGTTGTAATGGTGTATGCCATCAGAAGACATGGAAATATCCACACTTCTATATCAAATTGATTCTCAAATTTAAGAAAGAATAGAATTAAATTCTTTTTTTTTTTTGTTTAAATATATAATAAATTTCCTTCTGGGATTTATTAAATTTGCAGATTGTACATTTCAGATCATGACGTGACATTAATTCAACTCAGTTGCATAAAATATAGTATGCTAATATTTTCTTACAGAGAGTGAAAGTGACTGGAAAAGGACATGATAGATAAGAAAAAATAGCATCAAGGTGGAAAAATAGACTATAAACCTTTTCCAACACCTATTTTAAAATTGTATCAGCAGTTTATGGGAGTGCAGCTGGTTGTGTGCATACTTAAGATAGCGTAAAGAATGTATTTTGTTAAAAATTCATCTTTTGGGTGGGGACAGGGAAAAATATGAGATAATTAATTCAGGGTAAAAGCTGCTAATTGCAAACTGTGCATGATGCAAGCATCAGATGTACATAAAATTGTGGTGTCTCTTGAGAATTTGCCACAGGAGCAGAGTCAATTAAGCATGAACGGTATAAAATGCATGAGTCAGCAACAGGAACAGTTTGGGGAAGGTCCAGATTAGCTGAAATGCTCCTGTCCCTTCATGCATATATATGCTGGACACTTTTGTCACAGGATGTTTCCACAGCTGTGAAGGAGACAACCATCCCCAACAACAGGACAGAAGGTAAAGCTGAGTTTTGATTTGGAATCAATCTGGCTACAGATGAGCAGCTATAGTTCACCCCGTTGTGACTGCTATGTGAGGGGGAAATGGCATACACTTGTATGATATAAACTGACACACTAAACAGGAAGAACCTCGATGCCTCCAATTAAACAAATAATCTCTGCTGATTCACCAACTCCTGGATAGCAAGGTCATAGAAAAGCAAAGACCTGTGGTGAGAATTCTTTCCAAGAAGAATACAGAAAATGTTATTTCCTAGTTATTAGTAGGCCCCTGATCAAGACTGTAACAGTCATAGTGACACAATGATGACAGCTTTCCAAGGGTGTCTGGCCAAGGTCCCTTAAATACGACAATGACTAATTCTTCCAGCTCTCTAATTCTCTGACATGCCACCAGGGAGACAGCAAAGCTGCCTGGCAGTATTCTGAGTATTACTTTACTCCAGAAAAAAGGCATCTACAGTTTTTACTACTCCCATGACTGATGCCAAGAAGATGCTCTTGGGACATGCATATACATGCATCTTACCTTTTGGATACCAGTAACTTCCCTTTACCCCTTAAATGCTAGGGAAAAGGATCAACAACTGTGTTAGAAAATCTCGAGTGTTACAGAAGCTACAGTAACAGCAGAAACAGCTCAGTTACCTTAGCAGCTTAGATTTGTCCTAAACCTTATAAAAATTGGTTATCATTATTGCTGATATTTTAGGGCAAAGTGTAGCCACTTCCCCTGGTCCTACACAGTGCAGAATGTAATTACAATAAGCTTTTGTGGACAAATCTCAGTACTCCATGTTCTGGCCAGCTGTGATACAGAAAACTCAGTGACAGCAACAATAATAAAAGAACATCAATAAATATTTAAGTAATATAAATCACTGAAGTAGTGAATAGTCCAAAAGAGCTTTATAAAATACGAACTTCCAAAGAATACATTTATACTAAATGAAAGAGGCAGAACTATTTCTTGTAGGCAGAAAAGTAAACATTAGTTCAACACACCTAGAAATTTTTGTGAAACCTAATATTCACATTGCTAAAAGTAAAATCAAAACTGATGAAGGAACCAATGGAAAGAAGAAAATTAATACCTGAAAAAAAAAAAAAAAAAAAAAAAACCAACCCAAAAACACAAAAAACCCCCCACCAGACAGCCACACAGATAGAACATGTTGAGAAAATTGGACAGTAAGGACACAGAAAGAAAATATCAAACATGAAGAGTTTAACAGAAATTATCTTCAAGAACAGAAAAATAAATCAAAATTACAAAACAAGACTATGTTTAATCTAATTTCAAATCTAGTAACATAAATCTGAAGTGTTCTGTCTTAAAAAAATTATTTGATATGATATATATAAAGGTTCATTAAAAACCTGAGCTGATAGAAGACATTTTTGTATTTATTTTTCTTTTCACTACATTAGATTAGAATTCAAATTAGATAGAATTCAAAGAGATATTTTGGTGTTAAGCAACATAAACATTGGGGGAAGTAAAAGATCAGGTTTCTTAAAACGCAAGCTTTAATGTAAAAAATTTTTGGAAACAATCATTAAAATATTTTTAACCCAAATAGATACATTTTCAGCTTGTTGAATGAAAATAGTTCTTCAAAAACATTTCTCTGAATCCCCTCTGAATTCTCTTAAGTTTATTGTTACCATGGAGTTCTCAATAAAACTGTGTCTTACGATCTTATTTTTGTCCAGAATCTTTTTTTCTGAGGACTTGAACTGAGAACGAATCTATCAGAAACCATCCCCCAACTTATAAAAACTGGTGTTCTATGAGGTGTTTACAGTAATACACCTTTTCAATCCATAAATGCCATCACCATGTAAGCACATTATATAACCTCCCTTTCATCTATTTTGTAAAAAAAAAGAAACACACAGGGTCTCTATTTTTTTTCTCTATTAGTGACAAATACACAGATGGTAAAAGGTGTGAGAAGGATCATAAGCCCAACTGATACAATCCTGATATGGTTTGAAGCTGGCTGCCTGCCAAGTCTCCAAACCTTACCTCCAGAAGTGTTCCCCCCCCCCCCCCAAACCTCAGGGAGAAGAGGGAGAAAAAAAAAAACTAAGAAAACCCGAAACGAGAGAGAGACAACCAAAGTGAGATATATAAATATATTTACACTTATATACAATTAAAATATACAATTTCACAAGGGAAAAGGGAGGGGGGAAGGGAAAGGGAACAAAACCTAAAATAAAAAATATATATATATCCCAATTAGTGACCCAATATCTAACAACTAAAAGAGTTAGCAAAGAAAATAGCTCACTACTCTCCTTGGGACAACCGAGAGTCGCTCCGGAACGATCGCCGGCAACCTCTGTCTCCCAAGGTCGGCAAGGCCTAACCAGGCTCCTGCACCTCCAAGCCGCCGGAAGGAAAGAGAGCGAAGGCCTCTCCTCCTTTCTTCTTATAGTCTGGCTTACGTAAAAATCGTAGGGAATATTGGGTAAATCTGGACCCTTCCTTGGTTACAAACTGGTCACCAAGGAAGGCCTAGCCCAAACCACCACAAATCCAAAACAATAATGCAATCAGCGTGTTGAATGTTTTGCAGTTGCTGTGATTAACTTGTGTAGTAAAGTATAAATTCTTTTGATGTTACTTGAACTTCATGCTCAGGGTACAATTGTTACATGAGAATTTTGTTCACATAGGGACTACCTGGGAAAATCTTTTCACATTACATAGGCCTCAATCTTTCAACAAGGGTTTGTGATGCAATTAGAACAGTAACGATTGAACCCATTTTTTTCCACCAGTAAGAGATACCACACTATAACAGCAATTGACATTCAATGACAACGTTTATATAATTTGTAACAAGACTGGTAATACACCACCATCTCATAGAAATACCATCTTCAATTGCTGCCAAGCATGCCTTCATCTTTAGAGGCTGAAACGCATCCATGCTGGCTGCCAGGAAAAGAAGGCTGTGGTTTAGTCACCGTCATGTGAAAGTGCAGGTTGAAAGAATGGAACTGATGACACTCAAGAACACAGTATAGGAGAAGCAATTGTATCACATTGGAGATTTAATGGAAAATATTTGTGCCAAGAAAGTTTGTGTCAAGTGTGCATTAAGTACTACAGAGAGCAGAGAGAAGTACAAGAGAGTAGATAATAATGACCACTTCAGTATTAATTTGTCCCAAGTTCACCTGCAAAGATGTCCTGTTTACAAGTATTGATGTAATTTTCTGCTGACCTAAGTCTTCATTCAGGTGGAATAAAATACAGTACAGGAAGAGAGGTATGTTAGTAGGTGAATAAAACTATTAGTCTAGCGTGAATCATGAACAGCAAAGATTTAATACATTTTTCTCACAATTAGATTTTCTACTACTACCTCAAATGTTCTACAATCTTATGTATTTTCTCATACTTTCATTTCTTGCCTAATTTCTCATCTCCTTCTTGCTCTGACTGTTTCTCAGTCACAGGAGTTCAGGACTGTTGTTATGCCTCCAGCTTTCTGTAAAACCCTCAGGCACAATACTAACTCTTGTTAAACACTGAATAGCATACGTTCCATGGCACATCAGCCAAAAAATGCAGTATTACTGATTTTCATGAGCTTTAAAACACATG